AGGGGGGCGGCGAGAGGGGGGCGGCGGGTGACTAAGCGCCTCGCACACGCAGCTCACGCACCGCCTCGCTCCTGCATCTAATTTCCGGTTTCCCTCGCGCACTTGTGGCCACGGCCGCCTCCGCCCGGCGCGTCTGCGCCTCCATTCACGAGAGCAGTCGTCCCTGCAGGCGGCGCGCGGCGTCTTCCCCCGCGAGCCGCGCTGCTGGATCCTTGCCGTCCGCGCTCGGCGGCGCCCACGCCCACTTAAGCGCTCGCTACTTGATACTGCCCGCCGCCGGCTGGCCGGCGCTCCACTTCCGGTCGCCGCCGCGGCGCGGGAGCGGGAGGCCCAGCGGGGAATTTCGCAATTTCGAAAGTTTTATTTGCTCTTCTTTCCGAGCTTAACGTTAACTGTGTGAAGGAATCAGGATAACGAGCTGCATGTGGGCGTTTTCTATTGAAGGTTTGTCTTCACCGAGACGATTTTAACTGAACCCTTTCGACAAATCAAACGAGTTTTCGTAAGGCGATCTGTTCACTTTTAAAGTGTCTTTGAATCCAAAACGATGATAAATGGTACCGTAAATACTAAAACGGTAACCTATTTGCAAATAAAAATATACTTGCCCCATAATAAACTTGCATAGAATTTGATAAAATTCTGAATTAGGGAAGTGTTCCACTATACTCACTCGCAGTTGTAGAGCAGCGACTCGCCGATGTTGACGGTGAAGCAGGTGGCGCCGTTCAGGCAGTACCAGGTGGCGTAAGCGGGTGGACACGCGTACGTGTGGAATGTGATGTTCGGCCGCGCCGTCGGGGACGGCGGCCGCGGCTTCGGCGTCGACCGACTGGAGCAGGCCTCTGCAACGACAGACACACACTTTCAGTGCATTGCTTCTCACACCGAAACAATATCCACACTTCCTTCGCTCTCTGCAGTTCAGTAGGCTCGTGCGAATTTTATGGTCATCTCTAGGTTTCGTTTTAAATAACAAAACCATAGCAACAATTTCAATCTGAGGTAGAATATCCTTCGTGGGAAACCAAATTAACAGAAGTTTGACGAAAGGTATATATTCTCTGCAAGTCTACAAATATGAAAATGCTTAACATAAAGAACTAAAAGTAAATACTTCACAAAAATATGTACCAGAGCTGGAACTGATCATTCCCCTGGACAATATATCTGGATCTCAACAGCAAGCCAACATCCACAAAACACATCTACAGCGCAACATTTAGAAACCGATACTACAATTATACTGATAAGATACTTATTCCTAGCCTCTTCCAAAAGATTGGTACATACGTACGGATACAAGTGTACAGGTAGACGAGACACGTATAAACATTAAGGAATGCATGCACGCGCGTGTTGCTGCTCCGTCTGCCGGCAAACAAAAGAACAGCGGACTCGGCCCCCTCAACAAAGGAGCCGGGTAGGTCAGGGCGCAGAGCCGGGGAAGGTCCCAGCGCGTCTGCGCGGCGGCCACTACGCCGCGCTCGTGGACGCCCATTCAAGTGCCCGAGGCGAGTGCGATGAATGGCGCTTTGACGAGGTGTAACGCGCATCGAATAGCCTTACAAAACAACTGCGTTCGCGACCTCTGCGTGAACGCGCGCGGAGGTTACAAGGTTCGCTAATAACCCGAACGCAGAATCATTTCGCAGGAACGTCCGACTCCGTCAGCGACACGTGCAGCGGCAAGTGACTCGTGAGAGCACCGGTGAGCGGAGGCCATCGCCGGAAGACGAGACCGCACGCGGCCGATAGCAGTTGTCGCCCTTCCGCGGTTGCGGTTCCGAGACAAAATCCTTCTGGAAACCGCACCGCTGTTTCCCGCGTGGTTTCATCAGCGGATATTAGTACTGGAAGAACCCGGAAACTATCTGCCAGCGTTTCAAGAGGATTAACCGTTAGAATGGACGAGATGCGAATGACAGAAGTCATGCATAAAACACATCAACTGATGGGATTTCAACACTGAAGCCTAATAACATGAGGAGTGTTGAATTTTTGAAAGAATACACCTTGTTTCCATCTATCGTTAACCCGTTTTGGCAACCATTTCAGTATAATTCACGATAAAGTACTCGCAATGAAGATTCCTTTGATGCAAAGTGCCTTCCACAACTGGTCACGATAGCCATTCGCCTCCTACTGAAAGCAAGCGCGCTTTCGCACGGGGACGCACTCACGTGTACAGAGCGTGCAGAGCAGCAGCACGGCAACCGCGGGCCCCATGGCGCTGGCACGCGTGCGCGGGCGCGGGCGTGGGCGTGGGCGTGGGTGCGGGCGTGCGCCTCGCCCGCCGCCGCACCTGCCCGACGGAGC